ACACACACACGGTGTTCCTCACACTAGAGACACACACACACGGCGATCCTCGCACAAGAGACACACATACAAACATGGTGTTCCTGCACGAGACACACACACACACACACAAACACGGTGTTCCTCACCCAAGAGAGACACACACACATGGAGTTCCTCACACCACACATACAGTGTTCCTCACACTAGACATACAGTGTTCCTTACACCAGACACACACACAGTGTTCCTCACACTAGAGACACACACACACGCGGAGTTCCTCACACTACTACACACACACACACACAGTGTTCCTCGCACTAGAGACACACACACACAGCGATCCTCGCACTAGAGACACACACACACGCGGTGTTCTTTGCACTAGAGACACACACACACGGTGTTCCTCACACTAGAGACACACACACACGGCGATCCTCGCACAAGAGACACACATACAAACATGGTGTTCCTGCACGAGACACACACACACACACACACAAATACGGTGTTCCTCGCACGAGACACACACACACACACACAAACACGGTGTTCCTCACCCAAGAGAGACACACACACATGGAGTTCCTCACACCACACATACAGTGTTCCTCACACTAGACATACAGTGTTCCTTACACCAGACACACACACAGTGTTCCTCACACTAGAAACACACACACGCGGTGTTCCTCACACTAGAGACACACACACACGGTGTTCCTCACACTAGAAACACACACACACGGTGTTCCTCACACTAGAAACACACACACACGGTGTTCCTCACACTACTACACACACACACGGTGTTCCTCACACTACTACACACACACACGGTGTTCCTCACACTAGACACACACACACGGTGTTCCTCACACTACACACACACACGGTGTTCCTCACACTAGAAACACACACACACGGTGTTCCTCACACTACACACACACGGTGTTCCTCACACTACACACACACGGTGTTCCTCACACTACACACACACGGTGTTCCTCACACTACACACACACACACACACACGCGGTGTTCCTCACACCACACACACGCGGTGTTCCTCACACCACACACACACACACGCGGTGTTCCTCACACCACACACACACACACACACACACACACACGGTGTTCCTCACACCACACACACACACGGTGTTCCTCACACTACACACGCGGTGTTCCTCACACCACACACACGCGGTGTTCCTCACACTACACACACACGCGGTGTTCCTCACACTACACACACACACACACACGGTGTTCCTCACACTACACACACGCGGTGTTCCTCACACCACACACACACACACGCGGTGTTCCTCACACTACTACACACACACACGGTGTTCCTCACACTACTACACACACACACGCGGTGTTCCTCACACTACTACACACACACACGGTGTTCCTCACACTACTACACACACACACTGTGTTCCTCACACTACTACACACACACACTGTGTTCCTCACACTACTACACACACGCGGTGTTCCTCACACTACTACACACACACGCGGTGTTGCTCACACTACTACACACACACACCGTGTTCCTCACACTCCCACACACCACACACACACACACGGTGTTCCTCACACTACCACACACACACGGTGTTCCTCACACTACCACACACACACACGGTGTTCCTCACACTACCACACACACACACACACGGTGTTCCTCACACTACTACACACACACACGCGGTGTTCCTCACACTACTACACACACACACGCGGTGTTCCTCACACTACACACACACACACGCGGTGTTCCTCACACTACACACACACGGTGTTCCTCACACTACTACACACACACACGGTGTTCCTCACACTACTACACACACACACACGCGGTGTTCCTCACACTACTACACACACACACGGTGTTCCTCACACTACTACACACACACGCGGTGTTCCTCACACTACTACACACACACACTGTGTTCCTCACACTACTACACACACGCGGTGTTCCTCACACTACTACACACACACACGCGGTGTTCCTCACACTACTACACACACACACACACGGTGTTCCTCACACTACCACACACACACACACACGGTGTTCCTCACACTACCACACACACACACACACGGTGTTCCTCACACTACTACACACACACACGCGGTGTTCCTCACACTACTACACACACACACACGCGGTGTTCCTCACACTACTACACACACACACACGGTGTTCCTCACACTACTACACACACACACACACGGTGTTCCTCACACTACACACACACACACACACACGGTGTTCCTCACACTACACACACACACACACGGTGTTCCGAACAGTAGACACCCAAAAATTAATGAGATGCAAAACAGCATTGATATTCAGCGCAGCATCGCTTATTAGCACTGTAACCATTATTACTGATGGGGGGGGGGGGGGGGAGCAGTGAGCTGGGGGGGGGGGGCTCCGGGTCACGTGCCGGGGGGCGGGGCTCCGGGTCACGTGCCGGGGGCGGGACTCCGGGTCACGTGCCGGGGGGGCGGGAAGAGGCGCCCTGGAACGTCGAGTATCCACCAACTGATCACACGACGTTCCGAAGCCATTCATGCCGCTGCGCGCGCCGCCGCGGGCGGGAAGCCGAGCCCCGCCCCCCCCCGGGGTCGCTCCCGGGGCCGCGCCCCACCCCCACCACACACATTTGTAGCCTAAAGTCCACCAAATCCTACACCCCCCCCCACCTCAAAGTCCAGACCCCCCCCATGTTACGCGGCGCTCGCTGGTGCCACCGACCCGCGGCTGTTGCCTTTGAAGCTGTACGGTGGAGATCTTCAAAAGGGAATACAAAAAAAATAAAATTTAGGCATATCCGCCCAACGCCGTCTCTCCCCCCCCACCACACACACCCCCACTCACCCCCCCATCACCACTCACCCCCCCCCCACCACACACACACACCCACACTCACCCCCCCCATCACCACTCACCCCCACTCACCCCCCCATCACCACTCACCCCCCCCCCCCACCACTACTCACAGTACAACAAAAAACGATCAATAACTGGGCGTGAATCAGCCCAGTCTGGTAACCAGCTCCAACTAGTGCTGGATACAACCAGGTGAAGCTTCTTATAAAGGCTCCCACTCCCCCCCCCACCCCCACCACACCCCCCACCGCCAACTCTAACTCAAGTTATCCCGCAATCAGAGAGCCGCTTAAATTTGGCGGGAACCAAACCAATGACATGAGGACGAGCCTCAAATAATCCGAAACTGGCGACTAACTGCAAACCCGTCAGACCAGTACCCCCCCCACCACCACCACCCCCCCACCCCACCCACCCCCCACCACGACCACCCCACCCCACCCCGAACAAAACGGGGTGAACACAAATGCCCAGTGCCAGGCAGCAATGTCACAAGGACATGTTGCATTTCAGCCGTCACATTGGGGGGCAACATCGGGGCAGTCGCGGTGGCAGATGAAGTGCAAGTGTGTGTTTTTTTTTAAAAAAAAAGAACTTGGGTAATGGTTGAATTGCAATCGATCCGACTCGTCAAGTCACGATGCGCGGTCCCGGTACCCACTAACCGCCCAACTTCAGCTTCTGGAACAGATTTCGCAAAGCGCAAACGAACGAAGTGCGAGTCGGTTTCTCTCCGCGCTGCGCGTTCGCCGAAACCGTCCACATCCATCGGGGAAAGACGCGTCGAATGGCTTCGGCGAATTCGGCGTTTTCCCGATCAGCTCTCGGGTGTCACTGCAGAAACCATTCTGCGTAAAAGGTTAAGACAGTTTCGCTTCACCTTAAGTGACCAGTTTCGGTAAACTCCGGGGGCGCACGTGCTGTGCTGTGCTGTGCTGTGCTGTGCCTCCCGTTTCCAGGGCCACACAGCGGCGAAACCTCCCGCACTTCGCAGAAATTACAGTATTTGGCGGATTATGCAAAAGTCGGAATTATTATTTGCAGCGGTTGTGTGGGCAGTGCCCCCCTCCATCCCCGGGGGGCGCGGTCCTGCCCTCCACTGTCCAACACACACACACACACACAACACAAAAAAAAGTTTTACCAATCGTTTGGCCGAAACGGCTTCTCGCCGACGCGAGGCACAGGACGGGGGGGGGGACGGGGGGAAGGGGGAGGGGGGGGGCTCGGCATCAGCCCAGTCTCCGGCACCGCTCACTCGCTGCTTCCTCGCTGCTATAGATGCAAACCCAGAACACCGCCGGTGTGTACCGAGGCTTCGTGACACGCTGTCACTCTCTCGCTCTCCGAAATAAATCCGGTTCAAGCGTTTATTGGAAGAGACGCGACTTGGGGAGCGAGTCAGTCAGTCAGTCAGTCAGTCAGTCCTCCCTCTCGTCCTCACTCCCCATCGGTGCCGTGTGATGAGCGCTCTCTCCACTAACAGCTTCAAATGGGCCAAATCCCACAGAACGCTATCCCGAAAGAAGCCCTTTTTTTTTAGTCTTAATTGTTTTCGCACCGTTTTAAGACGGGAATTCGACAGATGTATGCGGGAAAGCAGCGCTCCTGGGAAGCATTGGCACATACGCCAATAACGCACGAGAGAAAGAGAGAGAGAGAGAGAGAGAGAGAAAAAAAGACCTTTGACGTTATAATAAAGCACACGATTTCACACCAAAGTGCACCAGAAAGGAGACTTCCAACTCGTCGAGTGTTTCCCTGAACCTTTGCTGCATTTCGGCCACCTGAGCTGCACAGGTACCCTGTGGCTGAGGCACTGACATTCACTGATGGTTTTAGTGTATTTTCTTTTCGTTTTGAACGAATATTAAAAAAAAAGGTATTGAAAAGGACAATTATGTTTGAAATTCCATCCCCCCCACCCCCATTGGAAAAGCACCTCGAATGCAAAAGGCTTCAGGTTTTGCAAAGATAAAACGTTGCAAGGATTTCAAAAAGCCAATTGCAAAAAAACACACACACACACACACACAAACACAAACACACACCAGATTTGAAGTGTCGAGAGCTTCCAGCTTACCTTTTGGCTTTTACGAGTAGAAAAGTTTAGAGTAGTCCTACGAAAAAGGGAAGGCGTAACGGAAAATTGCTCAAGTGCAGCACAAAACCCTGAAACGAAAGCAGCCTACAGGTAATAACGTGGGGGTAAGGTGGGGGAATTGCAAAAAAAAAAAAAAAAATGCACCGAAACGTCCAATATATATAGAAAAAAATAATGCACAAATCAACTTTTAAAAAAAAAAACCCGGGGGGAAAAAAAAAAAGTCTGATTTAGGTCAATTCGAGTATGGAATTTTTTTTAATATCTTTTGCAATATATAGATTTATATATATATATATATAGATATATATAAAAAAAACTTAAGGGACAAACTTAAGGAACAAAAGAAATAACCAAGAAACGTAAAACGGCTTCGGAAACCTTTCCCCCCCCCCTCCTCCTCCCCTACAACTGAAGCAGCAGCTGCATCTCGGCGCAAAACCAGAGGTGTTGCAGAAGATAAGAAATAAGAGGCGCTTTTTCTGTCACCGGGAGGGGATCCGCCGCGCTTTATAGCGGCCGAATCACACCGCGCGAATGCACCTCCGCATCGGCCGAACCGCTGCACTCTCGCTGCCCCGCAATCACATGGAGGAGCGGCGCGGAGGTATATTAACCCCCCACCCCCCCCTCCTCGGCGTCAGACCGCGAGCGCGTCAGCTGGGCGGAGGGGGCGGGGCCCTGACGGGAGCCGGGCGCCGCTCATTGGCGGAGGGACCCCCACCCGCCGCGCGGCTGACACGTCAGGGGCCACGCTGATTGGTTGCAGGGCCGCGTCCATCACCGGCCCCGCGGGCACCGCGGCGCGCGGTCTGCGGGTGTGTGTCAGTCACTGAGTTACAGTGTATCAGAGCGCCGAGCGGGCGGGCGGGAGGGAGGGAGGGCGGCTCTCCCACACACACTTATACATATATATATATATATGTGTGTGTGTGTGTGTGTGCTCCGGCTGGGCTGCCCGCCTTTGCTATTGAACGTTGCATTGCATTTGCAAAGCAAGAGAGAGGGAGCGAAGGACGGAAGAAGTGATTTTATTTTTATTATTTTGCAGCAGCTCACTCTCTCTCTCTCTCTCTCGTGTCTCTTCTCCCCCTCTCCCTCCCTCTCCCTCCTTAAATCAATGTGGATCAACGGCACCCCCGTTGTCACTTTGCCAGAGCAATTTTTTTTTGTTGTGGGGGGGGGGGGGGGATTGCGTTGTGCTATTGTTACCCATTAAAAAAGAACAGCAGCGCAGTCGGATCGTGGTTTAAAAGCGCGATTCTAAGTTGCACCCCTTTTCTGCAGTTAAAATGTGACATTTTGTGACAATGTGACAATTACGCTGCTCTATTTACCGTTGGTAAGTCACTGCTGTTTTTGTTTGCAATGCCCTTTTTTTGTGGGTCACAAAATGTGCTTTTTTTTTTTGGTCGGTTTTATTTTTAGGATTGATGCACAGAGCATCGAAAGATACAGTGCTGTCTCATCGTAGCGGCTGTGTACATTGCACTCTTAACTGTCCGTGTTAAGGCTGATAATCCAGAATGGACTTGAGCACAAAGGACATATGTGCACCTTTTAAATCAAACATGAACTTGCATTGCCATAATTTACTCTCACTTATCAACGACTTTTTTTTAAAAAGAATAAAAAAAATCATATTTTTAGCCGTGTCATCCCATTCCTACGAAATGCAAAGCTTGTGCTTTTAGATGCAGTGTGAAAGCACGTCCCCCAATCTGTCGCCAAGGATTGTTAACCCGAAATGGTGTGTGGTTAGTGATGGGGGATCAACCCCCCCCCCTCCCCCCAGAAATGTATCCTTGAAAAACGGTAACGGTTTGCAAAAGACCACAAAACCAGAGTTGCAGGTTTTCGTAAGATTTCACTATCCGGTGCGGTGTGCGGTTGGAGAAAATCACCTTTGCTACGAAATCAAATGCTCTTATGTGTTTGCAGTTGCACAGTTGCTGCCACAGCCCCCGACTGACACCGAGACTGCAGCTGAGGCAGTCCAGCGCTGATGCACACCGCTCCTTTGATGGGACACAACGCCTCTCAGCTGCCGCCTCTCGCTGGGGGTGGGGTTTTTTTTTTACGGCACGTTAGACTATCTCAAAGGAGTCCCATCACATCACGACCGATATGAATAGGGTTTGTGGTTAACTTCTGCTGATATCACACTGACTGACTGGCTGACTATTCCCGGAGTGTCTGCGACAGGGCAACCTCGTGCTGTAAGGAAAGCAACGAACAAACTTGGCAGAGAGCAAAATGCTCCACTACTTTAGGTTTGCTCGTCGAACGGCAGATATTACGGGCAAAGACTTTGCATAACCTGGTGGGGGGGTAATCGTGTAGTCAGATAATGCTCCTCAGCTCCTGCAAACAACCATCTTCTGGTCTAACAAGTGAGCAGGTGACAGACAGTGTGCACAAGGCATTAATTTCCCAGTGCAATGCCCTTCTCACTAACACCGCAGTGTGAGTGACAACAGCTTTTGCACTGAACAATAGACACATAAAGACGATGGACAATTGTGAAAAGGTACATTTTCATCCGAGGACATCCACCAAAATACAACAGGGATGTGATCTCCAACCGGATGTTGTTTCACATTTGTGCAAGAAGACATCCCTTTATTTGTGCGAGGATTGCAATGAAATTATAATGAATTGAGCCGACGTTCAATGGCGATTTTTTTTTTAAAAAATGCATAAGGATGTAATTGCCTTTCTCGCACATCGTCTTTTTTTTGTTCCCAGTGCATTCTCCACCGTCGATATATTGATTCAAGTAAAACATATGGAGGACTGTGTGTTCATCCTTATTGATAATATATTGTTTTAGTTGAAACACACATATGTTTAAATGGATCTACTACCATGCACCATCTACAATCTTACGTGGCCAGTCTAGACTATCAAAGATATTAAAAATACTGGAGTCTGAAATAGGTAAGGTGTTAGTAAAACGCCTCATCCCTTTTTTTTTAGAAAAAAAGGCTGCAAAAACAACACAAACGCGAGAAATGCGTAAATACATATTTTGCTTCACGCGCTTTGTGGACATTGCTTTTTTTGTGTGTGTGAAAACAAAATTACCAGTAAAGATAAACAGCTGAGGTTCCTACCATTGCCAACTCGAGTAAGATAAATGCGCTTTGAAACTTAATTGATTCTGCATGCCTCTAAATATACTATTTACTAACAACTACATCCCCCACATATTTATTCAACCATCAGGTTGGGGGGTAGGAAATCAGCCAAACGTTCACGAATACAAATTTCAAATACTCTGTTGCTCAGGGAGTGAATGTTCTGTTTTGCTCTCTAAAGAGTGGCCTTGTGTTATCTGGAATTCAAATGCAGTGTCAGCGCCTCGGGACGTCCTCCCGACGCGAACGGCGCTATACAAATGCAAGTTGTTGTTGTTGTGTCTGAAAGTCCTATTGCAGTTTTGACCAAAACCTGTACATTCTCCATTGCTTCGCGTTTACAGTCACTGCAGTGCATTTAATTCCGTTATCAAATATTGGGTGTGAACACCTCCAATACCACAGTCAAAATAGTACGAGTACTTTCGTGTGTTTGACAATGTAGTGACTTGTAAACTAAATGCACGAAATACATTTGTGTGTAAATATTTCTAGACGCGTTTAAATGGAAGATCCGTTGATGGTACCGACTTGGTTTGGGTGTTTGATGATGTGCAGCGCTGCCAAGCTCTCCTGATCTAATATGTAAACGCTGTTGTACGTGAGAAATATTTGCTGTTGTACGTGTGGAAATGACTTGTGGTTCCCAATATCACCACTGTGACAATACAGTAAAGAAAGCACCGGTTCGCAAGTGCTTTGGTCAACCACAACGTACAAGAAAGAAAACCGGAATGTAGTCGCCTTTCAACATCACTTCCTAAAGTAACATTTGGTTGGGGATAAAGTCGGGATTAATGACTCATTTTGTTTTTTTAAAAAAAAGTATATGCATCTTACTAACTTTTCAGCACCTGTTCATTTTCAGCGCCACCTTAATTTTAACCCTACAATCACCGAATGGTTGCACACAACTTGAGAGTGGAAACGTTGCTGCCAATAGTGTGGACAATTGTAATGTTTGCAGGACCTGGATGCAAACTTTCGTTATTAAAAGTCGGGTTTTGCAACTAAAACTACAATATAAATCGGAACGAAAGATATTTATTGAGCGGTTTCTGAAAGTCTATCATGAGCAGTCCCAATGGATTAAAATAAATTAGCGTAACAAGTATATTAACCAGAACACAATTTAAAATTACATTCGCTTTCCGATTAACCACTGCCATGTGGACCTCCCCTTGTTTTTCAACATGAGATTTTTTTTTTTGCAGATTTTTTAAAAAATGCCCCAAACTGACTATTCACATCCTAACTTTCTAAATTATTCTTTTAAAACAGAGATGTTACTAAGCCAAACCCCTTCCAGTTGTCATTTCATCCGCATTAAAACGGATATAAATTCGGAAATAATTTTTAAAAATCGTATTAATGTGTTTTATTTCCGTTATTATCGTGCAAAATTACGAATAATGTGATGATCTAATTGATGATAACACAGGATTTTCAGTGGTCCATTTGGATGTTAAACACGTGTAAGATCGCTGCAGCTGCATAAAAGCTTGCACGTCTATTTTATTATAAGCACTAAAACGAGAATATGTGTTCAAAGCATTATTCTTGGTTGCAATTAAAACGTCCTTTGCTAAATAATGCAGTTTAACTGCACAAACCATTGCGAGTGCAAACAATGTGTTACCCGCCTGCAGTCAACGCGACCAAACTAATAGCTTTAACTGGTGTCTGAGACTGAAAACTAAATGCACAACAAATTGTCAAGGTCAATAGCCTTCAATTGGTTGGTTGTGTGCATCTTTTGTCATCTCCCTTCAAGTCACTTACAGCTGAAGTACAAAATGGCGGCAGCGAAAAGAAAGGAGATTTGTTTTTACTTTTGGATAGAAATATCAGTCTCTGTGCATAGCAGTCGTAACGATAATTTCTTTCCCCAGCAGCC